ACTGCCTTTTTTGTTTTTGATTTTTCCTGCTTGTCTTTCTTTCAAGAAGTATCTTCATACAGAATGGTTCTTATTAACCATTTTTTTAAAGTGCTATCAAGTTGGTTATGACTCATAGGGATCTCATATACGGCTTCCAAGGAGCAGCTGGTAGGTTTGAACTGCCGACTTAGTGGCTCTCAGTCTAGTATGGATCCTACAGGGCCACACCAGGAGTCCTATTGTTGTTGTTAATTGCTGTTGAGTCAGTTCCAACTCATAGCAACCCTATATAGGGTTTCCAAGGAGTGGCTGGTGAGTTTGAACCCCCAATCATGTGGCTCAAACAGACCTTGTGGTCCAGTGTATTACTCTGTAGCACAATACCAAGACTCCAGGAATCCTATTAGTGATTGGTTTAAATAAAAAAAAAAAAAATGCTTCTAGGACTTTACACCCAATTATATAAAAGACCAATGAGAAAAGCAGTGCTGATGGCTCTGTAGGAGAAGTACAGGACTGTGAACCACAAGGCCGATGGTTTAAGCCCACCAGTCACTCCGAGGGTAGAAGATGAGGTTATCTGCTCCCGAAAAGATTTAAACTCCATACAAGGTTGCTATGAGTCCAAACTGATTCAATGGTACTTAACAACCAGAACAATGACAAAAAGGGTAACTTAATTGGGCCTATTTAGCCAGGAAAGAAAACATATTTAAGGGCTATAATTTAGAAAGTCTTCATGTACTTAAATGATTTTGTTGAAATAATGGTGAAGAACAACTTCAGTTTGATTAAAAGAGAAAAAGAAAATAATTTCATCTGCAAAGTTAGACATAAGACAATCTCTTAACCACAAGAGTTGGAAAATATTAAAAAGGTCTCACCCACCAAAACATTAAAACCACCCCTCAACCTATCCATAGCGTGCTCTGGTAGCGTAGTGGGTTACAAGTTGGGCTGCTAACTGCAATGTTAACAGTTTGAATCTACCAGCTGCTCCATGGGAGAAAGATGAGGCTTTCTGCTGTAAAGATTTACAGCCTCAGAAATCCTATACAGGCTCACTATTGAGCTGGAACCAACTCCATGACACACAACCACCACTCGCAACCTATCCATGATGCTTTATAACTAATCCTCCCAGTACAAGAGGTAGTCGTAGTTGAGTAATGCAAACAGTTACCAAGTCTGGTTGCAACAAAAGGATGAAGGTTTGAGTCCACCCAAAGTGGCCACAGAAGAAAAGATCTGGTGGTCACTTCTGAAAAAACCAGCCACTGCAAATCTTATGGAGCACAGGTCTACTCTGAGACACACAGGTTGTCACAAGTTGGTGTGCGCTGGATGACAACTAGAAAAAAAAAATCTTACAACCCTTCATGGGCCATTTGACACAAGAATACCTAACTACAGCCAGAAAGACATGAAGAATCCTTTGTCCTTCAAGGAAACATTAACTACTATTCCCTATAGGATTGTGATTTGATTTCTCTTCTCTTAGTTTTGAA